AGGGGTATTTGCCATCACAACTATTAGGTCCATTGATCTTATAAAAATATGGGATCTGATCCTGCCTTATTAGCATGACTTCCCTGGATCTAGACACTATGCTCCTGTTGATGCAGGCCAAAATCCCATTGGCTTTTTTTGCTGCCGCATCACATTGTTGGCTCATGTTTAACTTGTTGTCCATGAGGACTCCAAGATCTGTTTGGCAGAGAAAATTGTTTTGCTGTGAGTTTTCCTGGCTTTTAAAACTACAAGACCTTTTAGAACTACAACCCCCAGAATTCCATAGCATTGAGCCAGGGCAATTAAAGTGATGTCATGCTGGATTCTTACTACAGTGAAGATGCACCGTGAGACACCACATTCTGTAAATCAGTGGTTCCCAACCTTTGGAACTCCAGGTGTTTTGTGTTGTGGATTGTAAATGTAAATAACAGAAGATTTACCACAGTTTCTGAACCAAGATATAACCTGCAGTATAATAATGTGTCACTCAGATTTGTGTAAGAAGTAACAGTAACTTTACTTCAGTTCAAAAGTTCAAACATTGCAACAATATATACAGCCGTCTCTCTGAATTCCTACAGAGAACAGAGGGAATAAACGGGCCTTTTGAAATAGTCTTTTAAAAATGCCTCATGCCTTAGAAATGATCAGGCTTCAGTGACTTGGCAACCATTTCCTTCCTGACTTTCTCCAGTCAGTGCTCTCTTCGCCCTCCAGGCGAAAATGACAGTTAAAACCGTTTGTCTCAGCAGTAAGTCAGAGACAACAGCCAAACAGAGGCTGGATGGCCATCTGTCAGCAATATTCCTGCTTCTTGGCAGGGGGTTGGACTGGATGGCCCATGGGGTCTCTTCCAACTCTTTGATTCTATGATTCTATGATAATTAGAAACTTCGGCCTGTGACATGCTCAGGCAATCAGTTGCTGACACATGTCTGCCCAGTCAACCCATTTACATCATGGTGTCTTTTTAAATCCTCACATTTTGGACTTCAACTCCCAGAAATCTCAGCTAGCTTAGCAGCTGTTAGAAACGGTGGGAGCTGAAGTCCAAAACACCTGAATTGGGAACCACTGCTGTAAATACAGTGAGGTCAGTCTTCCCGTTTCATTTATCGATATCTGTCAAGATATATCATCTAGCCATTTTTTTGGTCCTCCTATGGTATGCTTGTACCGGAAGTCTATCATCTCAGTCTAGTTTTCTAATACACTATGTAACCAAATTTGAAAACAGTTTTGTTCCTGTTTTGAAAGTGTTATTTCCTGTTTAATTGTGTGGAACTTTGTTTGAAAGGAGTTGTTATACTCCAGAAACTTTGTTTTTGTGCCTGCCACAAACTGTGTTGAATCGGTTGAGACTCTGTGAGATATTCATTGAAAAACAACAAAATGTGCTGCAGGATATCCCACAAGAACAAAGTTTTTGCAGTTTAATACACTTTCCCCATGTTTTTATGATAGAACCAACTAGGAAATGGCATTAATAACCCAGGAACAAAAAATGGGTTACATAGTGATATCTATGGTTTTGCATTTTTACCTATATTTTAAAAAATTAGCATATTGAAATATTTTTTAACTTCATAATCATTTCCTATAAGCCGCTTCTGGTGTGAGACAATCGGCCGTCTACAAAGACGTTGCCTAGGGAACGCCAAGATGCCTTACCATCCTTCAGGGAGGCTTCTCTCGTGTATATCAAGAAATAGCTTCCTATGATCTATAGAGATACTCGCAGGAACACCTCAGCAAATGAGAGTCCAAAAGTGGCAGGCAAAAATCCAGAACCTCAATCCATGTCTGATACCAAATGAGAGACTCCCTCCTGGGCACACAGAAGATTGGGCAACCTGGAAAGTGCTGAACAGACTGCGCTCTGGCACCACGAGATGCAGAGCCAATCTTAAGAAATTTATTCTGTTGTTTATTTATTTATTTACTGCGCTTATATACCGCAATTCTCAGCCCAGGGGCGACTCATTGCGGTGCTGTTGTGACACCAGGATTTAAAAACAGATTTTTTAAAAAAAACACAGGAATTATTTATGCACAGAAAATTTGGCATAAAACAATGTGCAGAATTTTATGCAGATTAAATCCCTAACAATACTATTTTCTATGCAGAAAACAAAACTTTGCACAAAAAATATTTCCTGTGCAGAAAATACTGTTCCTCAGAAAACAATGTTTCTCTCTCTCTCTCTCTCTCTCTCACACACACACACACACACACACTGTGTGTATGTTTTGCATGGATTAAACCCTGAGTTATGAAGATTCTCCTTAATCTTGGATTTTCTTTGTCAGGATTCCCTGGCATTTAAGAAACATATTTTGGAGGTATTTAAACACATATTTTTGAATATTCCTTCCATCCCTACTGCCTGAAAACAGCCACCAAAACAGCATACATATCAACTTAGTTATGAGAGTGTAATGTCTGCACTGAACAAAACCTAAAATTCTATGATGCTATGGATTTATTCCATATTCGTTGCCCATTAGGATCATGACTTGGGCATCTAGTGCAGAGCAAAAGGAAATGCTTCTGCTTTGTAGCAGGAAAGCTGTAATGCCCTATGCTACCTCTCAGACTTCATTGTCTCTTTGCAAGATGTCAGAGTCAGAACTTGTGAACAAAGTCTCTCTGAAGTTTCCGTGGGGTCACCTGAGTTCATAATCTCTGTGAGGCATCTTGTCAGTTTCAAAGGTTCAGTGCCTGGGCTGCTTTTGGCTTTCGAGGACTTCATTGTGTCAGTGAATGGTAGCCCATGGCAGCAGTGGTCACAAAAGTCTCTTAATTAAGTGAAAACAGAAGCTGCTCTTTAAGTTGATGTCCTTACTTGATCCACCTCTGGAGCAGTGGAAGTGCCAACTGCATCAGAAACTGCATAACTTACAGCCAGCTGGAATCTGCTTGATCTTAGGGACTAAATTAACCTTTTAGGAATAAGACTTGGTCTTAGGGTCATTGGAACTAGGCAAGTGGAGCCATCTGAACTGGTTCAAGGGATATTGGGATATAGTGAATAATATTTTTCAGTGAAATGGATAGACAGTCTTAAAATGATGTAAATCTCAGCATATCTGAAGCGTTTTTTGTTCAAAGATTTCTAGTTATGGAAATTATATGTACCTTATCCATTTCCTTTCTATTCCATTTCTGACTTTTAAAACTTAGCAGTTATTGTGATAAGGAGCCGTGATGGTGCTTGTGACAGTGGTGGAACCGAGAGGAGGGCCTCCCTGGCAGATCTTAGAGCCCACATAGGTTCATATGCAAGGGCAGCTCAACCCATTACACAAAGTAAGCATTTGCAGTATAGTTGATTTTGCCCAGGGGCGCTCTTGAGGCGCTCTTGGGGGAAAATAGACCTTGACATATGCGAGTTATAGTTACTGGGATGTATAGTTCACCTACAATCAAAGAGCATTCTGAACTCCACCAATGATGGAATTGAACCAAATATGGCACACAAAACTCCCAAGACGAACAGAAAATATATATCAGTGATTGGTTGGGGGGGGGGTGTGCCAAAATACTGTTTGCTTACCATTGAAAATTACCTAGGGCCACCACTGTTCATATGGGTGGGCGGGGAGGATGCAATCACAAAGATAGGCAAGACCTGAGCTGTTTAGGGCTTTACAGGTAATTTACCTGTAAATTGGGACCAAAAATTTATAACCAGCCAATGGAGCTGCTTTAGTAGGAGCATCATATGCACCCCATAACTGGCTCTGGTTAGTAGCCTGGCTACAAATTTTTGGACCAATTACAGTTTCTGAGCTTGGTTTAACCTTCGGTTTGCTAGGATAACTAAATTACAGTGTCAGGAAAGGATGCATGACTAAAAAAGCACGTCACTAACATGAAAAACTTGGAAAGCTCTGCATAAATATTTGGGTCCAGGGCCCCTGTGGATACCAACATCCATGAGAGCTCAATATCCATTATATGGAATGGTGTCACAAAATTGTGTCCCTTATATAAAACAGCAAACAAGCAAGAGCGGTAGAGAAAGTCTGAGGGCCATTTCACAGGAGGGAAGGTATGCCTATACATCAAAATCATGTCTTTCAATCATGAGTTTTGATTTACATTCTATTGCTACTATAGGTCAATTCTATATCTGTTTGGTGCATGCTTTTTATATATTTGTTTTTTGCACAAAAGTATTAAGAATGCATGAAGTCGTCATCATATGTTTGTGTTATCTGTGTGTGTGTATAAAATGTTCATATGTATTTAACTTTAATAATAATAAACTTTATTTGTATCCCGCCTCATCTCAGTGATTGTATGATAGCTGGGTCCCCCTGTTACGAGTGCTACGCAGATGCCAGAAAGGTGGTTGTGAATAAGGGGAGAGATCACGTGGTTGAGAGAGAAGGGTGGAGTGAGTGTGGGGAGAGCAGGACACTGAGGGCGGGAATATACTTCGTAGTTGCATTTGAAGGAAGGATAGAAAGGAGGGGAGGGTTAGGGTTGGGGTTACGGTTAGGGTTTAGGGTTATAGTTACAGTTAGGATTGGGGCTAGGGTTTAGAGTTGGGGCTAGGGTTAGGTTAGGGTTTTACCATTTAAATACTCTTACATTCCTTCTATATTATCTGTGTCCAGCCTGTCTTAGATTACCTCAACACTCACTCCACTCCTGTCTCAGTCACGTGTTCCATTTTGCGCTGCACAAACAGCGCTCCAGAAGGAACGAAGCGGAAACAGCAAAACGCTCATAGCAGGGGGACCCAGCTATCATACAATCACCCTCATCTCCCTGATGGGGACTCAGAGTGGTTAACAACATACAGCAGCAAACATTCAATGCCGTACGGTGCAACCAACAAATAATAAACTTTGTTGTTGTTGTTCATTCGTTCAGTCGTCTCCGACTCTTCGTGACCTCATGGACCAGCCCACGCCAGAGCTCCCTGTCGGCCGTTACCACCCCCAGCTCCCTCAAGGTCAGTCCAGTCACTTCAAGGATGCCACCCATCCATCTTGCCCTTGGTCGGCCCCTCTTCCTTTTGCCTTCCACTTTCCCCAGCATAATTGTCTTCTCTAGGCTTTGCTGTCTCCTCATGATGTGGCCAAAGTACTTCAACTTTGTCTCTAGTATCCTTCCCTCCAAGTGAGCAGTCGGGCTTTATTTCCTGGAGGATGGACTGGTTGGATCTTCTCGCAGTCCAAGGCACTCTCAGAACTTTCCTCCAACACCACAGTTCAAAAGCATCGATTTTCCTTCGCTCAGCCTTCCCTAAGGTCCAGCTCTCACATCCGTAGGTGACTACAGGGAATACCATGGCTTTGACTAGGCGGATCTTTGTTGTCAGTCTGATGTCTCTACTCTTCACTATTTTATCGAGACTGGACATTACTCTCCTCCCAAGAAGTAAGCGTCTTCTGATTTCCTGGCTACAGTCTGCATCTGCAGTAATCTTTGCCCTAGAAATACAAAGTCTGTCACGGCCTCCACGGTTTCTCCCTCTATTTTCCAGTTGTAATCATTCTTGTTGCCATAATCTTGGTTTTTTTGACGTTTAGCTGCAACCCGGCTTTTGCGCTTTCTTCTTTCACCTTGATTAGAAGGCTCCTCAGCTCCTCCTCGCTTTCGGCCATCAGGGTGGTGTCATCTGCATATCTGAGGTTGTTAATGTTTCTTCCAGCAATTTTCACCCCAGCTTTGCATTCATCAAGCCACGCACATCCTCGCATGATGTGTTCTGCATACACAAGTTAAAAAGGTTGGGTGAGAGGATGCAGCCTTGCCGTACGCCTTTCCCAATCTTGAACCAGTCTGTTGTTCCGTGGTCAGTTCTGACTGTTGCTACTTGGTCCTTGTACAGATTCCTCAGGAGAGAGACAAGGTGGCTTGGTATGCCCATACCATCAAGAACTTGCCACAATTTATTATGAACCACACAGTCAAAGGCTTTAGAATAGTCAATAAAACAGAAATAGATGTTTTTCTGAAACTCCCTGCCTTTCTCCATTATCCAGCGGATATTGGCAATTGGTCTCGTTCCTCTGCCTTTTCTAAACCCAGCTTGAACATCTGGCAACTCTCACTCCATGTATTGCTGGAGTCTTCCTTGTAAATTAAATAATAACATATTAAACATCGACATCAGACAATTTTATAATAATAATAATTTTATTTCTTACCCACCTCTCTTCATGGCTCGAGGAGGGTTACAGACTTTGATGTACCCCGCCTCGAACTATCAGGAGAAGCAGGTAATAATAATAAGAATAATACGAATAATAACAATAGATTTTGCTATGATTTTTATATTATCCTACTGTTTTTATTGTATTGAAATTGTATTTTATGGTCTTGGTACCAACTGTAAACTGTCCCGAGTCGCCTGCGGGCTGAGAGGGACAGTATATAAATATAGTAAATAAAATAAATAATAATTTCTTTTGCAAATTGCCACTGGGTGCATCTACACTGTAGAATTAATGCAGTTTAGTATCACTTTTAACTGCCATGGCTCAATGCTATGAAATCATGAGAATCTGTTGTTTGCTGCCCATGAAAGCTGAAAACTACAACACCCATGTTCCCATAATATTGCAGCTTGGTAGGTTAAGAGTAATATCAAACTGCATTAATTCTACTGTATAAAACACCAGGCATGGGCAAACTTCGGCTGTTAGGAATTGTGGGAGTTGAAGTCCAAAACACCTGGAGGGCCGAAGTTTTCCCATGCCTGAGATACACTCATTGTTGTCTATTAGAATGAGGAAAGGGTGTTCACAGACGGGCGCCATTCAGGCAGCTCCGCAAAGCAGAACAGGAATGTTAAGCTTAAAGACTCCAACTCCCGGCGTGCCTCGCGGGGGGAGGTGCCACCCGCCGGGCCGGTTCCTCCCCGCGCAAAGCACCATGGGACTCGCAGTTTCTGTTGCGGCGCTTTGCGGAAGGGAAAAGCGCGCGCGGGGCTTGGCCGGCCTCCTTCCTTCTTTCCTTGGCTGGCTGGCTGGCTGACTGAGGGGCGGGAAGATGGCGCTGGAGGCCCGCGGGATGGAGCAGGACGTGGAGGACGGGGAGATTTCCGGCTCGGACTGCGAGATGCCGGTCTCGGCCGCCGCCCGGAGCCCCCAGCAGGTCAGGCCCAGAGGGGAGTTCCCTTTCCCTTCCTCTTCCTTTCACTGCCCTGAGGCTTGGAGGCCTGGGCGGGGAGGAAGAGGAGGAGGATGCTGCTGCTGCTGCAGGAGCCCAGCATTAATGCCCGCCTTCCATGCCGGCTTCAGGGGGGTTTGTCCCTTGTAATGGATGCTCGTCGCGTTCGAAGGCATCAAGCGTGCCCTCGAGGGAGGATTTCTCTGAGGGCCCTCCCACACAGCCCTATATCCCAGAATATCAAGGCAGAAAATCCCACAATATCTGCTTTGAGCTGGGCTATCTGAGGCCCCTTCCAGATGGGCTGGGACTACTGGGATGTCATCTGAGGCCCCTTCCACCCTGCTGAATCAAATCCCATATTATCTTCTTTGAACTGGAATATATGGCAGTGTGGACTAGATAACCCAGCTCAAAGTAGACATTGTGGGGTTTTCCGCCTTGATATTCTGGGTTATATGTCTGTGAGGAAAGGCCTTGAGTCCACACTGCCATATATTCCAGTTCATAGCAGATAATGTGGGATTTTATCCAGCTGTGTGGAAGGGACCTGAAGGAAGCTTCTCTTCCCACAGCCCTTAAAGGCCTTCCCTTGAGGCTCCCAGCCTGGGGGCCCTTCCACACAGCCCTATATACCACCAGAATATCAAGGCAGAAAATAATAATAATAATCTTTATTTATACCCCGCCACCATCTCCACAATGGGGACTGGGGGCGGCTAACATGAGGCCGAGCCCAAACATAAAACAAAATAATATACAAGAGCTCTTCCCACAGCTCTTAAAGGCTTTCCCTTGAGGCTCCCAGCCTGGGGGCCCTTACACACAGCCCTATATACCAGAATATCAAGGCAAATAATAATAATAATAATAATCTTTATTTATACCCTGCCACCATCTCCACAATGAGGACTGGGGGCGGCTAACATGAGGCCGAGCCCAAACATAAAACAAAATAATATACAAGAGCTCTTCCCACACAGCTCTTAAAGGCCTTCCCTTGAGGCTCCCAGCCTGGGGGGCCTTCCACACAGCCCTATATCCCAGAATATCAAGGCAGAAAATAATAATAATAATAATAATCTTTATTTATACCCCACCACCATCTCCACAATGGGGACTCATGAGGCTGAGCCCAAACATAATAAAACAAAATCATATACAAGACAATAGAAAATAAACGCAGCAAATACATAATACAACAAAATAAAATAAACAATGCAAAATGACATAATAAAATTCCCCACAATATCCTCTTTGAACTGGGTTATCTGAGTCCACACTCAGATAATGTGGAATTTCCTGCCTTGCTATTCTGGGAGGTAGGGCTGTGTGGAAGGGCCCTTGGTCCACATTCAAATAATATGGGATTTTCTGCCTTGCTATTCTGGGATATAGGGCTGTGTGGAAGGGACCTCGGACTCTTCTACATTGTGGAATTAATGCAGTTCGACACCACTTTTAACTGCTATGGCTCAAGTCTGTGGAATCATGGGAGTTTCAATGTAATGAGGCAACAGCCTTTCTGGCAGAAAAGTAAAACTAGTTCCCATAGTATTGAGATATGTCAGTTACAGCAGAGTCGAACTGCACCAATTCTATAGTGTAGAATGCAACCCAGAAGTTTTTGGGATTTTTCCAAGTTTGGATTACCATTTATTTGCATGTTGTTGTTGTTTGTATTCTGCCCTGTCTTTCTGAGGGCAGAGTCCAACAACAAAGAGGCAAACATTCACTGCCTGAAACAACAATAAATGCAATACTAAACCACCCAAAATAAACCAACATACACCAAAATAAACCAAAGTATACCAAATTAAACCCGCATGTAAAATCAAATTAGAACTTAAATTGTAATAAAATAAAAATTTAATACTATTTAAAAATAAATAAATACAAGTTTCATGGATTTGTTTAATATTTTGTCATTAGGGATTTCTAGGTCCTTCAGCACAACTCTGGTCATCTTCTGGCAGAAGGGAACTATGGAAGAAAGTCATGTTGGAGACTGTAGACATGCCTTTTCTAGGCATTTAGATGTCATCCAGAACAATTCCACTGGAAAGAATCCTGCTGGAAGGCCTAAGGGGCATCCTCACTGTAAAATCATTGCAGTTTGTCACCACAGCCATGACTCAATGGTATGAAATCATGGGAGTTTGGTGGGGCATCAGTATTCTTTGGCAGAGAAGGCTAAAAACTTGTAAAACTACAATTCCCACCGTTCCATAGCATTAAGACATGGCAATTAAAGTAGTGTCAAACTGCATTAATTTTACAGTGTAGATTCACCCCTAGAGATTTTTTAAAAGGTGTTCTTTTTGTCAGATTACAAAATATAAACTTTTTTATTCATGTCCCCCCCCCCCTCCCTTTCATGGGTGCCCTGTGCCCCTAACCTAGGTTTGACTGGGGATACATAATGAGTTATCTTGGAAATGGGACCATGATATCTAAACATGAAATTTCTTTATGTATTATATACATCTTAGTCACATAACCTGAGGGATCATATTATATACATTTTTTAAAAAATTGTGCATTGAGACAAAGTTTGTGTACATTGAACTGTCTGAAAGCAAGGGTGCCATTATCTCAGCCACCCATGTGGGCGATTTTGGAGTATTTAGGAATTCTGGATAAAGGGTATTTAACCTGTACAGGCCTGTGCATAGTGACAACTATCTTGTTAAGTCCAAAGTACAGATAACAGTGTCTCACCGTACATAGGTTTTATGTGAATGTATACAGGCAGTCCCAGAGTTACAAACATCTGACTTACAAACAACTCATAATTAAGAACGGGGTTGAGACAACAGAAAGTGAGAAAAATATACTCCTAAGAATGGAAATTATTTCCTGAAAGAGTTATCATAGGAAGAGGTGTCCTCACTGAAGCTTTAGCACCGATCTTTATTTGCACAACAAGCCACATTTTCCAAAATCCAATTATCACAGGGACAGAAAGTAAGGTGAAATCTCCTGAACAGGGCCAAATCTGCTGTCACTATCCCTATATGTGGCTATATAGTAATTTATTAATTACATTTAAATGCTGTCTTTCCTCCAATGATCTAAAAGCAGCAAAGATAGTCCTCTTTCTCACTTTCGCAACAATCCATTAATATATGATTGACAAAAAGAGAAAGTATGTATGGGACTACTGGGTTACACTGTTTAGAGCAGGGGTCCACAATTTTTTTAAACAGAGGGCCAGGTCACAATCCCTCAAACTGTAGGAGGGCCAAATTATAATTTGAAAATAACATGAATGCTGCACATATCTTATTTGTAGTACAAAAAAAAAACACTTAAAACAATACAATAATTAAAATGAAGAACAATTTTAATAAATATAAACTTAGTTTTTCAATGGGATGTGTGGGCCTGCTTTTGGCTGATGAAATAGGATTGTTGTTGTTGTGTGCTTTCAAGTCATTTCAGACTTAGGTTGACCCTGAGCGAGGGCCAGGTAAATGACCTTGGAGGGCCATATTCGGCCCCTGAGCCTTAGTTTGAGGAGCCCTGGTTTAGAGAAACAACCATTGAGGAAAAAGTGGGGGTTTTTTGGTCAGAGGGACTGATTGGCCCCAGAGGTTCTTCTTGATCTGCATCCATTGGCGTATTCACACACTTGTGTTTATTTTCTTATATTCTAGAAATGGCAGGTTAGCTCTAAAGCCCCTTCTATACTGCCATATAAAATCCTGATTAACTGCTTTGATAATCTGGATTATGTGGTAATGTAGACTGATATAATCCAGTTCAAAGCAGATAATATGGATTATCTGATTTGATAATCCGGGTTATATGACAGTGTAGAAGTATTATAGTAACTGAAGTCCAATGGAGAAGATCAAAAATTATATCTAAACGGATCATTTGTCAAAACTGGACATGCATTTAGTGCAATTGATTTCTCACGAAATGTGGGGAATATATATATATAGTGATGTTGTGTATTGGAATGTACTTTTTAAAAAAGTGTGCAGAAAATCGCCAGTTTACACCAAAATTACCAGCTCGTGTATTTGATAAGAAAATGAATAGAATCTGTAGTATGTGTTTTCTGAGCTTTAGGGCTTATCAACTTGTTTGTTTGTTTGTTTTGTTTTGTTTTTGTAAACACTCATCTGATGATTAAATGACAGTAATTGTTGGCATGATAAAGTTAAAAAAATATATAGCACACTAAGAAGTGCTGTTTCAAAGATAAAGAAGCATAGAAACATGGTATTGTGGTTATTTTGATATTCCAGGACTTGAGAAATTCTGGCACCTTTTGTGACTCTCTCACAGGCCTGGTGAAAAGATAAAGTAAGAAGACCCTATTTGCTGCCTTGAGCTCTGTGTAGGGAAAGTAATATCAAATATAGTATAAAAACATCTTGGTGAAATGGCACTAAGAATTAGATATGGGTGGATCATGGAAAAAGATTAATGGTGTTACCTCCATGCATTCACATTTTATCTGGCTATTGAGTTTTTTATTTATTTGTATCCCGCCTTTCTCTACCTCGAAGGGGACTCAAGGGGGATTTACACATGGTAACTATTCAATGCCTTTGGACAACAAACAGTTGGAATACACTTAAGTTAAAACTGAAATTGAAATTAAATGCACCTTAAAAACATATACAACATTGCGTTCACTATTGAAATCAAGCCATCCTCAATCGTAATCCAGGGCAGTTCAAAAGCTCAATTGCATATATTTCAATGCTATTATTGCACTATAGATTAGTATCCAAAGGCTTCACGCCAGTGCCAGGTTTTCACTTTCCTTCTGAAGGTCAGGAGGGAGGGAGCTGCTCTACTATCACTGGGGGAGGGTGCTCCACAGCCAAGTTACTGGGTTAGCAGCCACTGCGCCTCCCCAGCACAGACACCCTGTGAATTGTACTCCCCTCATGTGTTGTGGCTCACCAGGCTTTGGAGGGAGGACGATCAGTAAGTACCAAGAATCTACAGCTAAGTCTAAAGAAAGAATTCTACTGCAAGTCTTGAAGATCTAGTGGATGGATCAATGATATGATTAATTATAAAACCGCTTTCTATTTTTCTAACCTCTATACAGAAGGTAGTAAGGAGGCCACAGACTGTATTGCATGAATTCAGCGAGAAGTTATTTTTAAAATTACTCTTTGCACAGAACCAGCAAATCACAATTCTGAGCATTACATGCAACCGCTGAAACTATGTGTAGATTTCCTTACATTTCCCCCTTTCCCTTTATAAAAGCAGAATAGCTCCAGAGATTGGAGTCTTAATAAGAATAGTTAATGCAGAACAAACATTACTTGTGCTCACTGAAATGGAAATTGTTTTTGTCAGGTTGTTGTGACCTTTCAAGCAACTATATGTATTGTTGCTTTTGGCCAGTGTTAATTGTTTTAAAATGATTGAATTAAATGTTTGTAAGTAGAAATGAAGTTGTGATATATTCTGTCTCCTAACATTCATTTTTAAATGTATTTATATTTGGGTTACATTATACTTATAACACATTAGCATTTTTGCATTCAGGATATTTACAGTTCATGACACTGTTCAGTGTTTAATTCTCTGCCAAATGAAATAGGGTCATAGAATTGTTCACTGTTAAATCTCTGCTATTTTTGCTACACATAAAAAGGTAAATATTTTGTCATAACAAAATAAAAGATGTTGTAATTACCTTCTGTTTCAGCATATTTTATAAAGTATGTAATGGTTGTAGTTGTAACAGAACTCAGGAAAGAGGATTCTGGTAAAACATGTTTGCAGTATCAGATATCCTTTAAACTCAAAGCAGCTAAATATTTCATAATGTTGCCAAGATAATCTGAAAATGGTATTCTGTTGCTGTTCTGTAACCAAAGGAAAAAAAGGAATGTGTAATGTGTCTCAACCCATATATATTATATAACATACAGTTTAATTATATGTTTAATTATATGTTTAGCCTTCCTGATACCTGACAGTAGCCACGTTTTTAAAGTACCGTAGTCATTAATACTGACAACTAAACCTCCTGTATTGCAGAAGTTACTCTGTATTCTTTGACACTGCAGGGTCACCTAATACTTTAACAGATAATACTTTGGTTGTATTTTAAATCAGAAGTAACATTCAGTTATAAACTAGCCAATATGTCTCTAAAATCAATTTGTTTTAACAAAAATTAAATGGGGAAAAATAGCTGATTTAAGGTTAGTAGATGGCCTAGTTATTTATTTATTGACAGTATTTCTATCCCGTCCTTCTCATCCCGCAGGGGACACAGGGCGAATTACAATGCACATATACATGGCAAGCATTCAATGCCATTAGACATACAACGTATATAGACAGACATAGAGGCAATTTAACATTCCAGCTTTCCGGCTTCATGAGGGTATGCTCTATTCCTGCCACAGGGGGAGCTGCTGCTTCACCGTCCACTTTTGACACCGAGTCCTTGATGGAGTGCTTCCTCATTCTTACACATACTACTGGAAGGTTTTATGGTGTCGTAAATTAAATTAGCTTCCCCGCATAAAGCGGTACCAAAATTTCCTACTTGACAGATGCAACTGTCTTTCGGACTGCATAGGTCAACAGGAAGCTGGACTGTTAATGGTTGGGGGCTCACTCCAACTAAGGCTGGCTTCGAACTCATGACCTCTTGGTCAGTAGTGATTTAATGCAGCTGTCTACTAACTAGCTGTGCCACAGCCCAGTAGTTGGCACTTTTTGACAGCAAGACAAGTTGAAATCATGGATTCCCACTTTCAGAAACTGATAATACTGAGAAGGGGTGGCCAAAGAAGCCATGGGCCTTCCATCTGTAGACTCCTATTTGAGATAGGCATTCTTCCATCTCACTTCTACTGCAAAGGAATGTATTTTCCAGCACAAGAACAGTTTCCCTCCCATCATGGGGGTGGGGGGTCCTATCTTTTTCTTCTTTCAGATTGAGACAATGAAGAAGACTGAAATGTTCATTATCTGGTTTGCTACAAAGTGGTGATAATTAGTGCACATAAACAGAGTTCCCTTTGTAAATTACTGTTTGTTCTTTTTAAATTTCAGAAACAACATGATAGCAACAGTTCGGCCAGATCTTTCCCAAGTACCATTTTACCCTGTGCACCAAATGTCCCTTATCGGACAACCCAAAGTGTGGACTCAAGTGATGAGAGCTTCTCCGATTCAGATGAAGACAGCTGTCTTTGGAAACGAAAGCGACAGAAGTGTTCTAACCTTCCTCCCCTTAAACCAGATCCTTTCCTGTTTGGGTCAAACCCACAAAAACAGGGGAATATTGGTGGTAAAAAGATTAATAATATCTGGGGTGAAGTGCTTCAGGAACAGAATCAAGATGCAGTGGCCTCCGAACTTGGGATTCTAGGGATGGAGGGGACCATTGACAGAAGCCGGGCTTCAGAGGCTTACAACTATCTGTTGGCAAAAAAGCTCATGAGAGAATCTGAGCCAGAAGTGGCCAAGACATTAGAAAAAGACTTGGATGAATATATGCAAGATGACAAAAAGACATTATTAAAAGAAGATGAGGAGGAGGAAGAGACAAATGGACAAGGTCTCTTGAAACGAAAAAGGCCAGTTAAGGAAAGACTAGGTGAAAGACAAGAAATGAATTATAAAGGGAGATATGAAATTGCTGAAGATGATCCTGAGGAAAAAGTGGCAGATGAAATTGCCTACCGGTAAGATTTTGATCTTTTATCAAATACAACTTTGCCTTTTGTGACTTTTAATACACTGAATAATGCGAGTTTAAAGAGATCTCATTATTCAACCTAGTCCTCTGTGCTAAAGAGGAAACCCCAAAACTCTGATGAAATTCAGCTGTGCACTAAAGCACATAGGTCATTTAATTTTGCAGTTGTCATTTGTTTCCCTGCTTTATAGTTCTGGAATACAAACCGTAGTTGAAGTAAGTGCAACTTATTATGAATGCATGCCATTCCTAGTTCTATACTAACACACATTTATGCAGTACAATAAGCTTTTATTTATTATCATTGTTATTATTATTTATACCCTGCTTTATATCCCCCGAAGGGGACTCAAAGCGAGTTAACATAAAAGCATCAGCATAACAATTTAAAATTTACAAATATATGAACATTAAAACAGAATTAAATATAAACAATATTTTTAAAATTCCCAGTTTAAAACCATTAAAACAAATTCAAAGTTAAAAACCACAGCACCCCCTGAATTGATCTTAAACACCTTCATCTTTAAAAGCCTGTCTAAATAAAAAGGTTTTAGCCTGCTGTCAGAAGGATAGTAAGGAGAAGGCCATTCTGGCTTCCCTGGGCAGGGAGTTCCAGAGTTTAAAGGCAGCCACTGAAAAGGCCCACTCTCTCGTCCCTCCAATCGTGTTTGAGATGGAGGTGGGACAGAGAGAAAGGCATCTCCTGAAGATCTTGGGGCTCGGTCAGGTTCGTACAAGGGGATGTGGTCAGCCAAATAGCCTGGATCTGAATCATCTAGGCTTTACATAAGCAAAGCAATGTATAGGTACATTCTGCCTTATCTACTTCAAGCAAGTGCAGCTAAACAAGCCTTTATTCATTATTTGTGACATGTGAGCCAACAACTTTGACCTGTCCCTGTCTTCTGAGTAGAAAGTGTCATAAACCAAAAACAAAGCATGATGTATGACTTCAAATTTTCAGTAGTGAGACAAACCATAATCACTAGTTTACACATCATAATGAGTGAATTGTGGATAGAAAAATAACAGTTGTTTAGCTGCCCCCATTTTCAGGACAAACAATATAAGGCTAAATAATTGTATGTGGATTCTTCTATGTAGCTGAATGAAAATATGGAATAACATGGATTGTCAATGAGGATAAAACCTATTTTTAAATAAAGTGTGATTACTGTGCATCTGTATATACACATTTATGTATCAAGAGTAAAAAAAATAACCATTTTCTGTATATTTCTGACTCCGTGACTATAGTTTGTCCATTTGTTTAATCTTGAATGTATATATTATGTTGGTTCTGCTGGACCTCTCAGCGCCTTTGATACCACGGTATCCTTCTGGGACACCTTGTGGGAATACTGGGTCTTGGAGGTACTGTTTTACAGTGGCTCTGGTCCTTTCTAGAGGGTCGTTCCAGAAGGTGTTGTTGGGGGACACCTGCTTGGCCCAACAGCCATTGTCCCATGGAGTCCTACAGGGCTCAATATTATCCCCCATGTTGTTTAACATCTACATCAGTGGTTCTCAACCTGGGGTCCCCAGATGTTTTTGGCCTACAACTCCCAGAAATCCCAGCCAGTTTACCAGCTGTTAGGGTTTTTGGGAGTTGTAGGCCAAAACACCTGGGGACCCACAGGTTGAGAACCACTTATCTACATGAAGCCATTGGAAGAGATCATCTGGAGTGTGATGTCACCTGTGCAAAACAATGTCCAACTCTATCACTCCTTTCCACCTGCTACTAAGGAGGCTGTTCAGGTCCTGAACTAGTGCTTGACAGTTGTGTCAGTCTGGATGGGAGCAAAAAAGAAGAAGAAGTAGAAGTAGTAGTAGTAATTGAATCCAAACAAGACAGAGGTACTCCTGGTCACTCGTAAAGCCGAACAGGGTATAGGGTTACAGCCTGTGCTGGACTGGGTTACACTTCCCCTGAAGAAGCAGGTTCGCAGTTTGGGAGTTCTTCTGGACTCATCGCTGAGCCTGGAACCCCAGGTTCAGTGGTAGCCCGGGGAGCATTCCACAATGAAAACTTGTGCGCCAGTTGCGCCCATACCTTGGCAAGTCAGACTTATCCATGGTAGTTCACACTCTGATTACATCCTGAATAGACTACTTCAACGTGCTCTACATGGGGCTGCCTTTGAAGACTGTTCAGAAACTGCAAGTGGTCTGATGGGTGGCAGCCAGATTGCTCACCAGAGTGGCATACAGGGAGCATACAACCCCCCTGTTACGTCAGCTCCCCTGGCTGCCAATCAAAGTGCTGACTTTAGCCTATAAAGCTCTAAGCGGTTCTGATCCAGCTTATCTGTCTGAACATATCTCCCTCTATGAACCACCCTGGAGTTTGAGATCATCTGGGGAGGCCCTGCTCTTGCTCCCACCTCCCTCACAGGAGCGATTGGCTGAGACGAGAGACAGGGCCTTCTCAGTGGTGGCCCCTCAACTGTAGAACTCCCCAGCAATGTTAGATCAGCCCCCTCCCTTCTGATCTTCCGCAAGAGAGTGAAAACATGGCTTTGTGACCAAGCCTTTAAAGTACTTGTGCAATAGATAGACGTGAAACAATGTGCAATGACTGGATTACGCTTTGTTTGTACGCATTTATTGTTTATAAATGTTTCAATTGTTTTAATGTACTTTTAAGTTCTATTTTAATCTTTATTTAAATGTACATTGTGTTTAGAGCATTAAATTGTTTCATGTATGTAAAGCTGCCTTGAATCCCTTCTGGGGTGAGAAAGGCAGGATAGAAATTTTGTAAATAAATGAAATAAATAAATATATACAGTTCATGGCAGAAGAAGATAAATGTGGACCATCTCTTTGAAAGAAGTGCGTCATTGTAGGTAATGCAGACTTTTTAGGCTGTAACCATACATCTATATGAGAATAATTCTCCTTGAACTTAGTGGAGTCTATACCTGAGCTTAGTTATGGAAGATTATGTTGTTAAGTATATTTTTATTTTAACCAAAGGGACATTTTTCAGACATTCTAAAATTTTCTTTTGCTCTGACATAATTAGCATAAATCTATGAGGCTCACATTCTTACTCATGTGAAACTCATAGAAAGCAATTTGCTTTGCATTTATTTGGAAATGAATCCCCCTGAATTTTTTTTAACGTATTGTGAGCACATAGGACTTTAGTCTTACTATATTTTCCCCTAATATTAAATTAGTTTAATATTGAATTAATTATGCTTTTGGCACTAAACAAATGTTAGATAGTACTAATACTAGTAATAGTAGATAAAATGTATAAATGAAAATGTTCTCTCTGATTGCAAAATGCAAGGACTAAGAATCTTACAGAGCTTTAATTTTCTTTTAGACTTTGTGAACCTAAGAAGGATTTGATTGTGCGGGTAGTGAAAATCATTGGGAAAAAGAAATCTATAGAACTACTGATGGAAACTGCTGAAGTAGAACAAAATGGAGGACTTTTCATTGTGGTAAGTGACAATTAACCATGTAGCTTTTTAGGATAGAACACCAAAGCCAATATTATTTATGGAGGAGAGATTGATCCCATTCCTTCTTGTTGCACTTTCTCTGAGTCACAAACAGCATGACTCCATTAGCTCCTACAGACTAGCCAAACACCAAAGTCTCCTCATCTATCCTATTCCTTCCATTTGTAAGGCATCTGAATTCTTGAGAATGTGTGGTTTTGCTCTTTCTTGACAGTACTCACCTATTACTGTAACTGCTTGAAATAATCAGATTAACTATGTGGTGTGTTAAATTGCATATTATATCCACCTGCTAAAATGATAAGAGTGGTCAATTGGGCCAATCAGTTACTGTCAATTTCCAATTTATTATGTTCAAATTACCCTAAGTAAGCCCAGTGAGAATTGACTGAAAAGTTGGTTTGCTGCCTTTTTAAAATAGGTGTCACTGACAGAAAGTGGAGGGAGAGCTTGGATCGGCGTACACCTTGGCACCCTTCCATTCTGGGGTGAAGGGGGGAAATTTGGATTTATCTCGGTAGGCTTTATGGTTAATGGAGTTTCCAAAATATCTTCCTTCGGGCTTTGTGGAGGGAAGGTTAGGACAGCAAACCATCAATGTGGGGCCAGGTGTTTCGCCCAGTGGTTGGCTTGGCGGGTGGTCACAGAAAGATACCTGGCCTCACACCATTACCCATGTTGCAGTGCTCCCTCCACAACTAGTCAGTTACCTCAATTACCTAATTAGGTCAATAAATGGCCCATTTATTTCTTCACATCTTATGTGTGGTCTCTTTATTTTGCGGTGGGGATTCAATAGTAAATTATTTTTTTCTCTTTTTTTATCTTATAAACCACAAGGCAACTTTGCATTCATTTTTTGAAAATTTGGTGTTGTTTCTAATTGCTATTTAATCTGTTTTTATTGGTTTAAGTTTCTCTTTAAAGCATATACAATATAAATATATGGTGGTCTAGTTTTCCAGGGCAAAATACAAAGAGAAGAACTATACTCTTGAATGATTAATAGTTTGATTATTATTCGGTGGGTTATTAATATTTATAGAAAATTTATTTAATATTTTTATGAGTATTGCAGTAATTTAAATTTTGTGTTATGTTAGTAATGTCTTGCTAGTTTGTATTTAGCATAAATATCAGATGTGGACAATTAAGAAAGCATATTGAATCAATGCTCAACAGATGGAAGAAAGGTTCTTGAGGTACGATAGAGGTGGGGCCTGAGACACTTCTCTGTTAAAACGTCTCTGCCCCTTTACACATTGCCAGACATAATAACATTTTTTTTAAAAAAAAGATTGTGCAACAGGCTATATGGGGTTGAATCCAGGTATTCACTCAGCAGACTGTATGATTAACCTTTCTATGAATTGAAATGTTTATCCCAAAAGCTATGTGTATGCCTTCAGATAAATATTTAAGAGCAATTGCATGTTTAATCTGTTCACTCTCAGCTCTTAGAAGTTTTGCTTTTCCATTATGCAGAATGGTACTAGGAGGAGAACACCAGGAGGAGTTTATTTAAACTTACTGAAAAACACACCCAGCATAACAGGAGATCAAATTAAGGTAATTTATGTTCATGTATTACATAGAATTTTCTGGATACATCTTTTAACTTATTTTCTTTCTTTTACTATATCTTAACATGAATTGATGTTTATAAAAATGCATGGACTATTATGATAAAATTATAACTTTTTCAGATACAATACTACTACTATCCCTGTGGGACCGGTACTCACAGTTTTTGCCCACCTGCATCTGACAAAATATATCCGGTCCAGGAATTTTCTAGGTCCTTCAGGCTTTTGCCAGAAGTTACCATAAAGTCACCCTGGAGGACCTAGCAAACTCTTCCAGAGGATATCTCTAGGAATTCCTAGGTCTTCCAGATTGACTCTTTGATAACATCCATTCTTTTCAATAGGGTTCCCAGAGTTTCTGATTTCCACTTTCAGTTCAGAAATATGTCCCTTACACATATTCGGATTATATTATATTCTCACGGTATTTGGTTTTTAACAGTCATATTGTAGCAGACTATGTTATCTTTTTTTCAGAATTTCAGAATTTGATTTAGCCTATTGTCATCGCCTAGTTTTTTTTATTCTTTGCGCAAGAATTTTTCACAATTGCATATGTGAAATGAGCATTTCCTAGTCATTATAACTTTATATTCTATCATCTACACTTAAAATTCCTGTCAATATTTAAACAATGCCCAAAAGAATACATTGTGGTTATTAGAGCTGACATGCTCACAATATTATAGGCTCCATTTTTATAGACATGAAGCTTCAATTTTGGTAGAGTAGCCTTTATTTATTTATTTATTTATTTATTGGAGATTGTTCAGCCTTCATTATCTTTTCTCACTTAGGCTTCTCTCATAGGGAGACTGAATGGAAACAAGTATCACCCACTAAAGCTTGATGTGGTATGAATTGGGTGCTTGGTGCATGTAAGCACTTGACCATGCAATTTTATCTCACATGAGGTTAATTTGTTGAGCTGAATTTGGTTTGGAAAGCTTTGGGGTTTTTTAAGGAATGGGCTTGCCTCTTTATATAATCAATTTATCTTCCTTGTGTTGAACTCAGCAGCATTGCAGACAGAAGTCCCCCTCCAAAAGAGCTTTGCTTCCTTAAGACTAGCCCATCTGCATTGGCCAGGAGCCATCCTCACATCTTTTTTCTGGCCAATTCCCAGTTCACACAGAATATAATGAGGAAACAGCAGTCATTTTAAGAGGGAAACAGAAGAGAGTGCGGCCTGATAAGTGTGTCTTCCAAAACACATGAAAGTAATTCTGTTTAGACCTTATTAATTCCAGACTCTGCAGCAGGCATGGGCAGCCCTCCAGGTGTTTTGGACTTCAACTCCCACAATTCCTAACAGCAGTAGGCTGATAAGAATGGTGGGAGTTGAAGTCCAAAACACCTGGAGGGCCAAAGTTTGCCTGTGCCTGCTCTACAGAATGGGAAGGCCACGAGTCACAGCATTATGGGCAAACCTGTCTTTGATGGACAAGCAAACAGCTGTTTTGAATAAGGCATCCCTTCCACTTTGGGAATATTTGATTGTATAATCTGTAGCAATGTTTTTAAAAGATATGGCATTCGTCAGAGAAAAGCTAATAGTTTCTGAAAGGGCAATTTATCCATTGTTTCTCAGTACCTCATGAGGTATTAACATTATTTTTTGAAGGAAATCTTCTATGTTGAAAACCAAAAGGAGTATGAGAACAAAAAAGCTGCAAAGAAGAGGCGGATTCAAGTCCTGGGGAAAAAGATGAAGAAAGCTATTAAGGGGCTCAACCTTCAAGAATATGACGATGCTTCTCGAGAGACTTTTGCTAGTGATACCAACGAAGCCCTGGCTTCTCTAGATGACTTGCAAGAAGGACACAGTGAGATGAAATTGGATCCAGAGGATGCTATTGAGATAGATAACACCCATGATTTAGATATCTTTTAATGTACTGGGTATTTGAAAGACTTTAATTTTGTGACATATTAAATTGCAGTTTTTATATTTTGGCTTTTCTTTCTTTCTCTTTATTGGAGTAATACTCATTATGTCAATCAGTTATTTGCTGAAGAGGGCCTTGTATTTCTCACAACACTAATACTTGAGTGTTCGTGGGTTTGTTTGTTTTTTTACATCTCCTTCTTTTATATAATTTCTGTCCTTTCTCAATGACCTATTGGCCTTTGTTCACTCACCTCAGGGTTTTTTTAAATTAAAGAACAAATCTGAATGCTCTCATTCCTGAGTAATCCTTGTGTATGAGGCCTAGCATAACTGTATGGCGACATTTCTATTTAACCAAAGATAATGAGCAAAGTGACACATTCAAAATGTGCTCTGGCAAGGAAATATTTGATAGGACTGTGGCCTCAGGTAATAGTAAATTTGGGAACATTTAGGAACACTTGACAGTGGTGAAAACTGGTTTTGCATCTGATTGTAAATTGATATGTATCTTTAGATGGAGCTTTAAGAATACAAGGGAATATAGGGTAGTTTTTTGTTATTATGTTGCCTGTCACTGTTAAGAATGAATATTTTCTCGCAGTGGTTCCCAGCCTTTTGGCCTCTAGGTGTTTTGGACTTCAACTCCCAGAAATCCCAGCCATCTTACCAGCTGTTCGGAATTGTGAGAGCTGAAGTCCAAAAGACCTGGCAGCTCAAAAGTTGGGAACTACTGCAGGATTTTAAGGAGTGTTGAGATTTTTTTCCTATTCCAGTGGCAATGAAAGGCACTTGGCTTTTCGCTGCAAAGCAGCAAATTCACAGATTCTGTTCTTGACTTCCAATAATCTTCACATAATTTAAAATGCACTTTTCATAAACATTTGCAGTGAGTAGGACAACTAATTCTCTTATACTGTTCTTTCAAATATATCCTGTTTATGCCCAGTTTTTGTGCTACTGCTGTAGATGGCATCAAGTTATCTCCTTAAATACTACTGAAATAAGTCGCAGTAAAGTGCAATGAATTGGTTTCGGACCTAGGCTTACTCAGAGTAAACTATATGAAGTCTAAAGAACCCTTTGAATGTGGGCAATCGCTTCTGTGTGGTCCAGCATTTTCTCTCCAAATATTGGATTAAATATTCTGTTCAAAACATGAAGAGAGTGGCTGATCTTTCATTTGACGAAATATTACTTTATTGATGTGTATTGTGGACAGGCTACAGTTTTCTTATAAGAAATCAAATTATTTAAAAGATTAGTGTTGAAGTTAGTTCAACAGTCATCTTTGTAAAAATATTATCATAAGAGACCACAGACCTCGGTAATAAACACATACTAATGAATGTAGTGGGTCTCTTGTTGTATATACATAGGGATGGTTATCTAGGAAATTGGTCTAATACTTAATTTGCTGTAATTTCGAAGGCTTTCATGACCGGAATCACTGGGTTGTTGTAGGTTTTTCGGGCTGTATGGCCATGTTCTAGAATAGGCATCCTCAAACTGCGGCCCTCCAACTGTTTGAGCCTCCAACTCCCAGAATTCCTGGCCATTGAACAAGTTGGCAAGGGCTTCTGGGAGTTGGAGGGCAAAACAGCTGGAGGGCCGGTTTGAGAATGCCTATTCTAGAACATAGCCATACAGCCCAAAAAACCTACATACAACAACCCACTTAATTTGCTCTTTTTAGCTCCCCCCCCCCTTTTTTTTCTTTCTTTATTTTTGCTGTGGCTTTCAATAACCCAAATTCTAAACAAGCCATATACTGTATATGACAAACAGGCTGTGGATATTTTCATTTTCCCCAATTTTTCTCTTCCTTACCCCCCATCCCCCCTTTTATTATCCTAAACTGCAATCTTCAGCTGGTGAATGGTTTTATTGTTCTTCAGCAGCAATTCTAATCAATAGCTCTAATTGTGGAATCAGTCTATAAAGTGCATCCACAATTTTTTCGTGTCCCCATAATGTCAAATGCTCTTAAAAGAAGGAATGAAGAGTTAAATATCTTGCAGTACACTTGCCTGGAGCATAATAATATATGTGCAAGTATAATTGCACGCATTGGGTTTAATTTTCAGTTGTAGAGTACAAAAATAAATAAAAATCATTTGTTGACAAACCTCTGTTTACTGAATTTCTTCCAATATTTTTGGTCCTTAAATTCTAACTGAAAATAGACTGGGGAGTGGGAAAACTTTTTATAATTAGGTATATTGAATTCTGTGAAACTTTATAAACATGAGTATTATGTTCTTAAAGTTTGTAACAGTGTTTTGCTTGACAGTATGGATTATATGTTTATGTGGCTGCTAGTACAGACACAAAAAACACTATTGCAGGTGTTACTGTGACTAGAAAAGATGGCACTGAGCACAAATGTTTCAGCACTGTGTCAAAAAAACATTTGATCATTTAACTGCCTTTGGCTGAATTTTATTTTCCCCAACTGTAGTTTCCCTTTATTACTTTGCAGTCCTCTTGTTATGACAGCTGTGCCCAGAAAACCTTGCAGTAAAAATTCCCTTTACACTTACAAAGGAACCATACCGCTTTGAATTCTTTTAATCCTTCTTGAAACTATTACTCTGATGTTTAAACATTTCTGTGGGAAGACATAAACATTAATAAAGAAGGTGTTCACCAGAGGTCTCTGCCTGTAGGACTGATCCCATACTATCTTGCCATTGTTCATGTTCCCTGCACACCTTTAATCTCATGTTGTGATCTTGAATAGCACATTCTTTGGGCAAGAAATGTCTTTTATGTCACTATACAATGAGCAGTGTAAAAGTACTTGGTGGCAGTGGTGTGCCTTAATGTTGTTTCTGACTTAGGAGAACTGCATTTGACGAGTCTTCTGTTTAAAAAATGTGTGGGGGGGGGGATCAACTCCCATATATTATACTGATGCTAGACCAGGCGTGGGCAAACTTCAGACCTCCAGGTGTTTTGGATTTCACCTCCCAGAAATTCCAGCCAGCTTACCAGCTGTTATGAATGGTGGAAGTCTGAAACACCTGGAGGGCTGAAGTTTGCCCATGCCTGAGGTAGATCACAGTTGGTCTTCCAGCCTGAACAATGAGTCTCCCAGTTCTTGTTGGACTGCAATTCCTAGCATTCTTCCCCATTAGCTGCACTGGCTAAGGCTGATAGGACTTGATCTGCACAGCATCTGGAGGGCTGCCAGACTTTCATCCCAGCTTCACATTCACGGTAGTTTAAAGAAAGGTGGTTTTGATGACTTGTCTGAAGCTTCAAGGAAATTATTGCCCATTTTTCTTTCATTCTACTTTCCAATTATAATTGTAGATATGATATGTAACAGTGCATCCATACTTTTTAAAAGCCATGTTATTCAAATATATTTACCCATCTACTCTGGTTGTATATTTCCATCTGCTTTTTGTTCCTGATGTAGCTTCTGTGTCATCAGCCTGACAATGGTAGATGCATCATAATCCCTTGCTAAGCCAACTACCAAGTATCTTGATTTCTCCCAGAGAGCCCAGTGCAGCTGCTACAACATGAGTAACCTGGAAGCTACACCACAGCTTCAATATAAACCCAATGTGGTTTCTAAAGGAGTCAATACTGACCTTGCAGGGTAAGGGAGAAACTTCTGTTTCGGGGGGGGGGGGGGGGGGGGGGGGGGGGGGGGGCGTCTCCTGCAAGAGGCATACAGAAGCAAATGGGCTTTACTATAATGTCTTCCTTATTTCTTTAACAATTTACTTATTTTTCCAAGTTTATTTTTCAGTGGGTATGAATAGTATTATATAGAGCTACTGGAAAAGATAAAAACTTAAATTACATTGATTTGCAGTAAACTGATAATTCATTACCTGTCATCTAGACATGCTCTCTGATGAAAGTAATATGAACATCTCAGGTATGCTCACTTAATCTGTGGTGGCTGTTCATAGATGCATGTCAATGTTTGGTCCAAAAGATGATGTTTGAGACTTCACCTCCCAGAAGCTTTACTCAGAATGATCAGTGGGGATTGCAGGACGTGTAGTCCAAAAATATTAAGGACCAAAGCAACTTGCAACCTTTACTATGTTGACTAAGACTAATTGACTTGAAATCCAGGAACACATGGAAGTGGAGACTGTATGATATAGTAGTGTAAGCAATGACCCTGAAGACCAGGAATCCCTACTCGGGCATGAGCTTGGACAGGTCACACACTCTTAACATCAGAAAACTTCATGAAAGGTTAATATTAGGATCACCATAAATATAAAATGGTGTGAAGGCACAACAACAACAGAAGAAGGACCAACCTTTGTTGAAAACAAACAGGCTACATCATACTTTAGTATTTTTTCAAATGACTCATCAAATACAGCTGTTTTGATTCAGACAGTAAAACTTACAGTGTTACCACAGGAGAAAACAAAAGATCGGTGGTCCAGATATCCAAAGAATACAGATTGTTGGATGGTGCACATACATATTTTCCAATGCATTTTCTTGAGGCTTTGGAATTTATTTCTGTACCTCATAGAAACAAGCACACAACAAGCAGTTTTTAAAATGCTTGTTTTAGTGGATGCTTTTATTTCCTCTTTACAGAACACAAGTGAAACCCAGAAATATGTATGGGAGGTCTCACCAATCATGCCTGCGAAGAGAGTGGGACCGAGAGCATATCCTCCCCGACAGATCTTAACGCTTGAGCTGGTTCATAGAGAGAGATACGTTCAGACAGGCAAGCTGGGCCAGAGCCGTTTAGGGTTTTATAGGTTAAAGACAGCACTTTGAATTTTGTTTGGTAGCAGACTGTCAGCCTGTGGTGCTGACGTAACAGGGGAGTTGTATGCTCCCTGTACGCCACTCCGATGAGCAACCTGGCTGCTACCCATGGGACTATTTAGAGTTTCCAGACAGTCTTCAAAAGCAACCCCACGTAGAGTACCCCCATGGTCCTCTAATGTAGCCCTCTAACTTTGCACAGTTGTCAACTCCTAACACAAAGCGTACTTTATTGAGAAACTCAATATATCTTCTCTGGTGAGAAGCCTTGGGTGTGAAGACTGTTCTTGCTTTTGCTGTAATTGAAGACATTTGAGAAAACAAAAGCTCACAGTTTTGTGGATCTTTTTGCTCTGTGTGTCTCTAGGCTTATTCATTGCCATTTGCCAAGATTTTCATACAGACATGGAATGATTCCAAAGCTCTACATCATGCCCTGGAAACAAAACATGAAGTACCGCACACTGAATTTAAAGGTAGGAAAGTCTGGAAGACATCTCATTCTGTGCAATACAGCCCCCACTTAGGAAAGACAAAGTATTCACTGGTATGTTATAGAATTCGATGACAGTTTTTGTTCCTAGACTATAGTAGTTCTTTTAACCCTTGTTTTGGCAGGCGTTTTAGGCTCTTTCCCACAAACTCTGGCCAGCATGATCAGATATTCTGTAAAGAGAAGTCACATGAATCTGAAAATTGATGACTGCAAACCACTGATGTTTTAGATTATCATAGATACCCTACAAAGTTTTATAGATGAAAACCACAACTTTTAAAGGAACTGTTGATCATTTTGTGCTATCTAATTGCTTTAGCCTGAGATCCCTCCATGTCTGTTTTAGGAAACAAGAGGACATAAAGATAAGTGAATTGCCAGAATATATTTTGAAAGCATCCTTCCAGTTGACAGGGAGTTGCTGTTAACAGAAAAACAGATTGAATTAAAAGAACATTTCTGTTTTCCTCTTTTACACAATGATACTACAAAATAGCTGTTGTCCTTGCCTCTCTTACAGTTATAATGCAAACCAAACTCTGTTTTTCAGTCAAGCTGAACGGAGCAGGGTGAATGCATGATAAAGGTTTTTTTTTTTTGAACCATAAAAGGACTTTGGCTTGTATCCAATGGTTAATCTTAACTAGAGTAGACCCATTGATTCAGTACAAAATCAGTAAGCAAGCCCTGATGTAAGGCCATGACCTAGCATGTTCACTCACAGAATATCTTTACTCTAGTTCACTTCATAACTACCATGCTTCTCTAATTCAGATTGGAAAAACACAGGGTAATTAATAATGAATTTCTGGCTCCTAATACTGGGTTTCAAAAAAATATTCCCAGACAGAGCTCTGCCACAGAATAGAACTAAAAAGAACCAGAGTCAGATATGACCTGAAGAAGAGGCATACATTTGTACTTTGTTCTCCCGAGGTAGTTCTCAAATTGTCAACATGTCACAGATGAAAAACAGGGCATGTGTGCCCATGAAACATCAGAGTGTTTCATGGGCAAAAGTGATTACAGTAATGAAAAACACAAAACAGGAGAGGCTACAGCAGTTTGCTTTGATCTGAGTTTACTGAGAGGGACAATAACTCTGCTACCACCTGAGTTGCGCATGAATTAAGCTGAGGACAAGGGGAAATGTGGAAATAAAAGTGAGAAACTGGGATATTTTTAAAGCAACTGGGCTTTAGCACAGTGGGTTAAACCTCCAGCTGTAGAAAATCTTCTGGATCAAGCCTAGGTTGGGGTGAGCTCCTGCTGTCTGCTCACCTAGCAGATCGAAAACAGCAATGTGAATAGACAAATAGGTACCGCTTTAAGTGAGGAGGTAATAAAAGACACCCATAAGGTGATGCTGGTGATTCAATTGGGAGGATGTCTATGGACAACAAAACTCTTCTGCATGAAAGATGGAGCGACAGCACCATCCCATGGCTGGAGTCGAGCACAGCCTCCAGATGCCAGAGATGGAAAAAGATGGGAAAGCACATACCTCTGTTTATGTATAGTCTGTCCTTGTTAATTGCATAATGGCATTGGATGCTTGCCATATACAGTATGTGTTCTGTAATCTGCCCTGAGTCCCCTCAGGGAGATAGAGCGGAATATAAATAAAGTATATTATTATTAAAGTGAGACAACAGAGAATTAACTGGGACTGTCTCTTTCAAATTAGGACAGTTGGAGGTTATATTTCTTCTCTCTTGATTTCTCTGACTCTGTCTAAGAGCCTTCTTTTTTCTGTCCTAGCAAGCTGCCAAATTGTGGAATAGAGTTCAGAAAAACTACTTTCTTGGACTACAACTCTCACAATCTCTCAAAGCATACAGCCAGTGGCTTTCCTCACCCAACCTCTGTTCTTGATGCTTTTGCAATTAAACTCTTGTCCCCATGAAACTATGCCAAGGGCCTCATGTCATTCAACCTGGCTTCATATATATATTCCATGATATCTTTTCACAGTTAATCATTTTGTCATTGCATACTTTTAACTGGTTCCATCCTATCCCAGGTTTGCATTGGATGGAGCTGTAGTAACAAAAGTAACAAAACCCATAAAAACAACAACAATAACTATACACTTACAACTACTTGAACAACAATTATATAACTAACTACACAATTTCTTTCACTAACATACATCTTTACTCTAATTACATATACATCTAAGATACATAAAATAGTTTTAAACAAGAATTTATTGCTTTCCTTTTGTCAACTTCTCTATAGTTTAATATTTTTCCATCTTAAATCAAGCAACTTATTCACTTCTGTTTGTTTTTTCTACGCCAAGCCTATAGTCTTTTCCTCTTCTCATATGTATATATATATATATATATATATATATATATAGAGAGAGAGAGAGAGAGAGAGAGAGGGAGAGAGAGCATACTTCTAAGAATTTGTCCAGTGATTTACTCTTCAATTGAGTTGTTAACTTGTCCCAAAGTACTATAACTGAGTATTGTTAATACATCAATTATTTCTTTGAATTTCTTTTCTGATTATTAATCTATTTGCAAAACTCATTGTTACAGAATAATGGCTTGAATTCCCTTTCTTAGCATGCTGGCAACATTGGGCTTTATACTGGTTCCCTTGAAGACACCTTGTTTTTGGAAAAAAGCGAGAGGCATTGCCATGGAGAGAATCGGAAGAAACTTCTGCAGAAAGTGCCACAGAAAATGACGGTGGAAGACATTCCCATTTATTCCCATCTTTCACGATACCACAAGTCGATTGTGTCATATGGCTTCAGGATCAAACTCTGAGTCACTTTTCTCCAGCTGGGATTTGCATCAGCCATGAATTAAACATAGCTGCAAGGGAAACTGAATGTGATCTTTTCATTCTTTTCCAAATCAAGTAAAGCGCTCAAATCTACCAAACAAATATGATTTCTATCAAGGAAATAACTGAAGATTTGATGTACTTGGACCCATCCCACCCAAAATCTAGAGCTTGGCCTTTTATTTGTTAAATAACCAGGGCATTATATTGGCTTCACATCTGAAAGGTAGCCAAGATTGGGATTACTAATCTTTGATTACAGCAAGGCCACATTTTATGATATTGTGGTGACTATAATGGGATGAATCCATAACAACTCTACCACACAATGAGACTTTCACAGTACCTACCTGTGGAAATGGTTGATTCACAAATGTGCTGAAATAGCCATTACCTCTTCATAATGTGATGAACTTTTAAATTTGGGACAACCAATCAGTAAATTCTTGACTCATGTGTTCTTTTTTTTTAAAATTCCCAATGCAATAGTATAGCAGTTTAAGGGATGTCTACTGTTTATGAATCCAACATGTTCTAGAAAAACAAACACACATTGAAATGGGCATCTCCTTCACAGTGTAGAAAGACCACAGATAGACTGTGCTTTCCTATTAAACGTTGTAGGATAATTGGCATTCAGTATCTCAAAATCCTTCTGCTACAAGAAGAAAAATCAAAGATTGAGGACAAAATCAGATAGGCATCTGCTCATAGCTAAGAAAAATTACCTTGTTTGCATTGCATCCCCCAGAATTTTGAAAATTGGGGAGTTGTGGCCTGAAAATAAATGTTCAAAGCTTTGGTTAAATGATTAAATCTGTCTAATTCAGTGATGTGAACAGAGAAGATTTCAAAAAAAAAGGAGCATCCATTGTGTGAATTCATCATGATCTATAATAACATTAATTACATTATCTTCAATATAAGGAACATAAAGCAGGCAGTGCCCTCTGAGCTGTATATGATGAGTGTTCACACATTATTGAAAATCAATATGGAATGTTCTAGGAATTTCTTATACTGCAAGCTGCAAATGTCATGGAGAATAGATACGCCTGCATAAATTGTGACATTAGAGTCTTTGAAAACAGTCTTTGACAATATTACAGAAATGCTAGATTTATTTTTCATTTTATAGGGATAAAAATATTTTGTTGCTGCAGCAAAACAAATGTCTGGAGTAAAAGGAAACCAAAATATTTCCACCAGAGGGCAATCTAACATTATATCTCTGTCTGTCTCTCGATGCATCTACACTGCAGAATTAAAGCAGTTTGAAACTGCTCTAACTGCCATGGCTCAATGTTATGGAATCCTGGGAGCAATAGCTTAGTTAAGGAACAACACTTGGCAGAGAAGGCTGAAGACTAACCCTCCGAGGATTCATAGCACTGAGCCATGACAGTTAGAGACGTATCAAATTGCTTTAATTCTACAGCATCCAGTTTTCCGATGTGTGTCTGTGTTTGGCTGGCTGAGTGTTAAATAAAATTTTATAATGCATTGAAATGTCTAATATTATTTCTAAAAGAACTGCATACAATAAACATTCAAAGTAAGTGAGAGTATATCAGGATAGCTAGAAATAAACCAGATAGAAAACTATAGGGAAGCATCAACAATAAGACTGCCTACAGGGATTACATATTTTCCCCAATGATGATACTATCATTAAGATGTATAGAGCTGACTTCTCACAGCTCTTCTCAGATACAGTATTCTTTTTTTTTAAACTTTCAGAACAATCTCAAAAAACATTTATTAAACAAAAATTGTGCACTGAAGAGTCCTTTGTTTTTGAACATTCACCATAAAACCGAAGGGGAAAGAAGGACTCTCTCACACACACTTCATAGCTATTTGTGTGGCCTGCAATTGCCGCAGATACAGTATTCTTAGGGCCCTTCTACACATGCAATAAAACCTGAGAGGAAGTGGGTTAAAAAGGGGGTGGCTAAACAACATTTAGCCAAAGTGCGGAAGGAATCGTGAGGAATTGGGTTAAAGGCTGGAAAACACGGGTTTAAAAGGTGCTCTTTAAACTCAGTTCTTTCTAAAACACACACTTTTCCATGCCTGTGTATCCCTACAGGCAGGGAAGACATATGCTTTCTTTCCCTCCCGCCCTGTGTGGACTCCTCCCAAGCACATGCATTTCTGAAAAGGCCAAAACAGCTGATCAGCTGATCAACTGTCCAACGGAGACACAGATGGCTCAAGGAAGCACATATAATTTTTTCAATTTTTTTTACACTTTGTAATGTCAGAGCTTGAATTAACAATTGGGGAAAGACAAAGATCCAAGGGAAGTTTTTTTTTTTTTTTAAAAAATGTTCCGTTATGTGCTGGACCACATATGTGCTTATGCTCATATGTGCATCTCTGGAATGATATATAAAAAAAACTTCTGCTAGATATCCCCAATTCACTATCTCAATCCACTTCAACAAAAAACAGCTATGAGGACAGCGGGGGATTATGCAGCAGGACGGACAGGTGTGTTTGGATTCCCTTTGAGGTCCCGCATTTTAAAAACCCACTTTGTTGTCCTGAATTTTGACACTGTCTGGAAGCGCCCGTAGATATTAATGGAAAGAACAAAAAAATGAATGGAAAAGCAGTCCTTTGGTTTAAATTCACAAATTAAAAAAATGAACATTCAGGTAACCACATCCTCAAAAGGGAAACTTTATGCAGATTCGGGTTGCTTATTTTAACAATTTAATAAATAACTTTTGAAAGCAAGCAAACAGGTCTCTGAGGAAATTGATTAATTAATAATGTGGTGTTACTAGGTGATAAACCTTATTTGTATTCTAGGGAAACATTTAACAGACTTCAGTGGATCAAATATGCAGATGATACTTAATATAACTAATTTTTAACCAGATGTGTTGCGGCATTGGTATTTTTTTCCAGGATCAAAGCCAAGGAAGAGTCAATGCACTGAACTAAATAATATCTAGCAGAAATAGTAATAAGATTGCAGACAGCATCATGCTGGGAAATTTAACAGGTTGGGAAGGTTATGCCCCAAGTGCAGTGAGAGAAAAAGTCAATTGAAAAACTAAGGAAGAGGTTAAGATGGAACATTCTGAACTTAAAAATGAATGAAAGCAGAAACTGCAGCTAGTGTGAAACCTGAAATAGAAACAGTTGATAAGGTTTGTCAGTATGGGAAAACAAGGAAAACAGCAGGCACTTGAGAATTGTAGTGCTTATACCCACTGTTTATCATCATGGTCGCACAAGTATGTTACGGTACCAGTAGCTAACATTTAGAGGTGCATGTACACAATAGAACTAATGCAGTTTGCCGCCACTTTAACAGCCATGGCTCTATGCTATGGAATCCTGGAAACTATAGTTTGTTGAAGAACCAGCATTCTTTGGCAGAGAAGATTCAAGATCTTGTAAAAATACAACTCCAGTGGTTCCACTGCATTGAATCATGGCACCTACCTCTCCCTATGAACCATCTAAAAGTTTAAGATCATCCAGGAATGCCCTGCTCTCGATCCTGCCTTCTTTGCAGGTGCGACTGGCAGGGACAAGAGACAGGGCCATTCAGTGGTGTCCCCTCAATCGTGGACCGCCCTATCCAGGGAGATTAGATCAGCCCCCTCCCTCTTGACCTTCCAGAAAAAAGTGAAAACATGGCTATTTGAACAAGCCTTCGGAATCTAATGCAACAGTCAAACATGGAATTAGACAAAAGTAAACATTGGAACGGCTCAGATGACGTTTTTGGACAATGAGACTAACAATGGAGGCATTGCTTTTATATGTTTTTAAAGGTTTTATTGAATTTACTTTTAATTCTGTTAATTTTATATTGTTAGGCATCAAATTGCTGCCTGGTTGTAAGTCACCTTTAGTCAGGTTTGGGAAAGGCGGGATAGAAATATCATAAATAAATAAATAAACAAACAAACAAACAAACAAATAATAAACTAACATGGTGTTAAACATTAATTCTACAACTAATATTTTCTACATCAAATTCAACACCACTTTTCAGTTTTTCTTTGATGAGATATTCTCTTACACTGTCAATCTGAAGGAATGTTTCTGAGACCTGGAAACATTTAACATAAAGAGATGACTTTAAACACTGAATAGGGTGTGGGGACATGGAAGTCCAATTCTTAGCCCTTTTCACATTATACTATTATAGAATTATGATTCAGCTTTAGCATCCTATGAAATTCTGGGATTTGTGGTTTAATAAGGGGCATTTAGAATTCTCAGTTGGAGAGCTCTAGTGCCTCATTAAACAATAAACCCCAGGATTCCTTATGATAAAAATTAACATGGAATAAGAGTGCTATATTCATGCAGTATAAAAGGATTCCTGAAAAATATGTTTGCTTGAACTGTAGAGTGTGCGCAGCAACACTTTAGGAAAAGTTTTAAAAGAAGGCAAGGAAAAAGAGATTGAAGCATCACTAGCTTCACCATAGAATCATAGAATCATAGAATCAAAGAGTTGGAAGAGACCTCATGGGCCATCCAGTCCAACCCCCTGCCAAGAAGCAGGAATATTGCATTCAAATCACCCCTGACAAATGGCCATCCAGCCTCTGCTTAAAAGCTTCCACAGAAGGAGCCTCCACCACACTCCGGGGCAGAGAGTTCCACTGCTGAACGGCTCTCACAGTCAGGAAGTTCTTCCTAATGTTCAGATGGAATCTCCTCTCTTGTAGTTTGAAGCCATTGTTCCGCGTCCTAGTCTCCAGGGAAGCAGAAAACAAGCTTGCTCCCTCCTCCCTGTGGCTTCCTCTCACATATTTATACATGGCTATCATATCTCCTTCAGCCTTCTCTTCAGGCTAAACATGCCCAGCTCTTTAAGCCGCTCCTCATAGGGCTTGTTCTCCAGACCCTTGATCATTTTAGTCGCCCTCCTCTGGACACATTCCAGCTTGTCAATATCTCTCTTGAATTGTGGTGCCCAGAATTGGACACAATATTCCAGATGTGGTCTAACCAAAGCAGAATAGAGGGGTAGCATTACTTCCTTAGATCTAGACACTCTGCTCCTATTGATGCAGGCCAAAATCCCATTGGCTTTTTTTGCCGCCACATCACATTGTTGGCTCATGTTTAACTTGTTGTCCACGATGACTCCAAGATCTTTTTCACACGTACTGCTCTCGAGCCAGGCGTCACCCATTCTGTATCTTTGCATTTCATTTTTTCTGCCAAAGTGGAGTATCTTGCATTTGTCACTGTTGAACTTCATTTTGTTAGTTTTGGCCCATCTCTCTAATCTGTCAAGATCGTTTTGAATTCTGCTCCTGTCCTCTGGACTATTGGCTATCCCTCCCAATTTGGTGTCGTCTGCAAACTTGATGATCATGCCTTCTAGCCCTTCATCTAAGTCATTAATAAAGATGTTGCACAGGACCGGGCCCAGGACGGAA